CCTAATCCCTAACACTGACCTAATCCCTAACACTGGCCTAATCCCTAACACTGACCTAATCCCTAACACTGACCTAATCCCTAACACTGACCTAATCCCTAACACTGGCCTAATCCCTAACACTGACCTAATCCCTAACACTGACCTAATCCCTAACACTGACCTAATCCCTAACACTGACATAATCCCTAACACTGACCTAATCCCTAAGCAGAGAGGAATTATGACATTGGTAATTGAGAGCTTAAAGTGACATTAAGCCCTCAGATTGTGTAACATAAAACAATAGTGTAATGTGCGCCGCACTGTAATCCATGGTTGTTTCCCTTCTCTTTGCTGCTCTTCCTTTTATAGCCTCATCTCTTCTCATGCTGGGGGAGAACTTCCCTTTGCAGCTGAGTGCCTCTTCCTGTAGTGCCGCCTCAGGTTGTGAACCTACACACAGACACCGTGTATCCATTCCTGAGACAAGGCCGTCTGCTGCAAAACAGAAGTTCTCCCCCAGCATGAGAAGAGATGAGGCTATAAAAGGAAGAGCAGCAAAGAGAAGGGAGACCACCATGGATTACAGGAAGGCGCACATTACAGTATTGGGTTATGTTAAAAAAATCTGAGGGTTTAATGTCACTTTAAACTGTCTAATGGGCCATAGAAGTGTGGTGCTACTGGCTTGAAGGTGCCCAGCGCCCCTTCACTGTGTATACTGATCATATGAATCTCGAGTGTATTAAACACACCAAACATTTGAACATTTGTTTTTGACCTGCTTTCAAAAACATTAAGGTCGATGCTCTGCCCCATAGCTCTCACCATTGTTTAATATTCCCAGAGAGCCACTGAGTATCCTTCTGCACACACAGGTCCTGAGAGGGGGTTCTTCTGATCTTTCTTCTTCCATTGCCAGGACACAGGAATCAGGTTCCCAAGGGCCTCCCAGCTACAAAATGTGTACGCTTTTGCCTGAGACCCAAAGTTCTCATTGAGGCTCATACTGTAGTTCCCAAACAGCTGATCATTCTGTCATCTTCTCAGACTCTCTCCATAATTTCCCATGACGTATGGTGGCCCTCGCTGAGAAAAGATGTAACTCTGTACATTCAACCTTGTAAAGTCTGTGCCAGGTCTGAGTCTTCTTTAATGAAGCCTTCCAGTCTCCTTATGCCTCTTCCTTTTCACAACCATCAGTGGGCTCACCACTCTATGCCCTTGACACTTTTCCTTTGGTGCTCCATCTCCGATAATTAGCTAGACATATTAATCGCCCACATTCTTTGTCCTGGATTTCGTCCTTCTTTTGTGTATAAGGACATCATCCAAAGCTCTGCTCCTTTTACAACTCATCTTCTATTGTCTCCAGTGCCACTCACACTATTGTCCTCAGTGGTTCAAAATTGTTCCCCCTAGTAGAATGTCCATGACTATCTGACATCTGCAGATTCCTCCAAGAAGATCTTTGCTGATGCTCATTGTCCCTCATCTCCTCCAGCTCATGATTGGCGACTCTGTGTGGCTTTAAACCAGGAACATTTCTCACAAGGGGTCATCATGGAAACTCACAATCAGGTTAATTGACCTATACTGGATCATGCCGAGAGTAAATGTTGTATCTTTCTCTCTCAAGCTACCTCCCTCCCTAAAATATCCCCAATACATATTACTTGCTCAAACCTTTGCACCCCCAGACTACAGTTGCTTCCAGATCTCTTTTTCTTGTGGATGGGCAAGACAGTGCAAAGGACTGTGGACTCCAGAAGCATTGGGCCCACTCAAGTACCCCATCCATTGCAAAGGCTACAGTGTACATGCTGCTGCACTTTGCTTCCCCGGCTCCCTTGCTAGTTCCCTGGCAGTCAGGCTTGGCACACACCTCTGGTCCTGGGATTAGTATTTGTGGCAGGAGGTGCTTTATTCAAAGCTCATCAGCCTGTGTCTCTGTTCTCGTGATAGTGCTACCTGCATACCAAGTTCACCTGGTTACTTTGTCTGTTTCTTCCCGTTGCTGACCTAGCTACGTTCACAGATACCTCTACTGTCTGCCGCCTGCCCTGACCTCTGCCGAGTTTATGGATGCACTCACTTAGTGTCTGCCGCCTGCCCTGACCTCTGCCGAGTTTATGGATGCACTCACTTAGTGTCTGCCGCCTGCCCTGACCTCTGCCGAGTTTATGGATGCACTCACTTAGTGTCTGCCGCCTGCCCTGACCTCTGCCGAGTTTATGGATGCACTCACTTAGTGTCTGCCGCCTGCCCTGACCTCTGCCGAGTTTATGGATGCACTCACTTAGTGTCTGCCGCCTGCCCTGACCTCTGCCGAGTTTATGGATGCACTCACTTAGTGTCTGCCGCCTGCCCTGACCTCTGCCGAGTTTATGGATGCACTCACTTAGTGTCTGCCGCCTGCCCTGACCTCTGCCGAGTTTATGGATGCACTCACTTAGTGTCTGCCGCCTGCCCTGACCTCTGCCGAGTTTATGGATGCACTCACTTAGTGTCTGCCGCCTGCCCTGACCTCTGCCGAGTTTATGGATGCACTCACTTAGTGTCTGCCGCCTGCCCTGACCTCTGCCGAGTTTATGGATGCACTCACTTAGTGTCTGCCGCCTGCCCTGACCTCTGCCGAGTTTATGGATGCACTCACTTAGTGTCTGCCGCCTGCCCTGACCTCTGCCGAGTTTATGGATGCACTCACTTAGTGTCTGCCGCCAGCCCAGAGCTTGGCCACACCCTTAGACTTCATCTGCTGTCTGCCACCTATCCTGGCTCCACCAGATTGTCCTCTGTCTTATTTCCTCCATCAGTAAATGGTACATCTTCCCTTTTCTATAGAGTTTGGAGTATCACATCCAGGGGGCAACCTGTTACTGGTAGGCCTGCCAATATATAAGCTACACTTGCCCACTATTTACTCTGACTGGAGTGTCTGAGTTAGGACTTTACACAGAGGTTCTTCAATCCACTGTGACGCGGAGTTGTGGATGGTGCATTAGTGAGTGCATGGGAGTAGAAGCGGGACACTCAGCCTGGGGGAGGGGGCAGGAAGTATAAATGTAGCAATAAGTTAGGACATGATTTGAACATTTTCTCTAGTTGTGGATGGAGCGGTGAGAGGTTACAAACCAAAGTTACACTTCCCACTGAACCAGGAGGTGAAGGGAAATCTTCCAGTGGAGAAACTTGTTCCAGTGACAACTGTCTAAAAGGAGATTTCCTCCCATATCCTGTTCTGTCTTTGGAGCAATAGGTGTGTAGACCGCTAAACCCAAAACAGGAAGGATATGACGTTAGATCTAAAATGTCAAGGCCGCTATCAGCCGTGGTGTCCTTGGTGGTCTCTTTTTGGTAGTCATAGCTTATAGTAAATCCTAATATGAACATAGCATATATAGTAACATATGTTACTGTATTACTACTTTTCATAGATAGACAAATATCCTATTATCTGCTAGATACAGTATGTACTTATTTCCTTGAAATTGCAATAAATGGTGTCAGCCCTGCCCAGATGCCTTTTGCTAAACTACTAAATTCTTCCCCATTTCCTCATCTCCACAACATAGGAACTATTTGTCTTGTAGTACAAAGATAAGAAGTGGGAGGGCCAAACAGACTCCTTTTATAAGCATGCCTTGCTGGAATAACTTTTCTTTAGCATCATGGTTGCTTAAATATGTACAGACTTGAGAAAAGAAGAGAAAGGATGGACTTGACTGAATTGTTTAAATACAGAACAGGTATAGGGTTGAGGAGGGCAGGATTTTTAGTATGAAGCTGATTTCAAAGACCATGGGGACATGTCTCCATATTATAACAAACAACGCAGACTTGATGCAGCACTCGGTCTCTCTCCACATCACAATGATACTTTGTATTCCTCAGTTTGTATCTACAGATAACTTTATTTCCCTCTTATAGGGGCTCTGAGGATCACAATGAGGACGCCACGTGTGTCCTCACCGAGGGACGGGGATGTCACCATTCCCTGTGATGTATCTGATATAAATACCGAGAGAGCCATTTCATTACTATGGAGGAGGATATCAGAGAACGGCACTGAGCATGACGTGTATGAATACAATGATAAAGGGGTGATCATATTCCGGCCGGGATGTTCCATGAACGTGACGGAGTTCCTGAGAGGAAACGCAGAGCTCCGCATCCCCCAGGTCCAGTTCTCTGATGAGGGGGAATATATCTGTACAGTGATAAACACTCCGGATAAAGCAGAAGGTAGAACTACTCTGGAGGTGTCAGGTGAGTGGCAGTAGAAATGACATTGTCTCCGTTGTCTCCCAATACTGTTATATGACTCCGGGGTTCATTTACTAAAGGAGCTGAGAATCCTCACTCACTAAGTGGTAGCTGTGTTCACTCTGAATTCCCAATCACGGGCAGATGAATTACATAAACGGGGATTTGTGTTTTATACAATTGTGAAATTGAAGTGAACTTTCCTCGTCCTTTTTTTTTTTTTTTTTTTTTTGCATCCTGACAGCGGCCACCTTCAGAATAAAAAAAAAGAAAAACAGATAGCCGGTGAATGAATAGCTAGGCTGCTATTGGCCATTTCAAATTTAAATAACAGGCTTGCTATTGTACTCACCCTTCACATAACTCCCAGCTATGAGCTGGATAATGGAGCGGAATTATCTGTACATGTTACACACCCGGCACTGACATCTCCGGCCTCGGTACTCAGGACACTCAGCGTTATAGGAGGTGAGACTCTTCTCTTATACATGAAATGGGTTCTCTCCAAAGTCTTCATTGACTCCTCCAAGATGTGGTTACATTTCTGAGCATCAGTTGGCCATATCTACCCTCTGAGGGGGCAATAGCGAGTTCTTCTGGTGTAGGAAGGTTCTTATTATCATGGGGACATTTCTAGCTTGGTGGGGGCCCTCCCAGTGTGAAGGACCGGTGCCTTCCTAGAGCGACATATCAGGGGGAAGCATGGAAAGCATCGGGTGACCTGGAAGACGTATACACTGGAGATAAGGACTTATGATATGTCTCTGACATTTCTAATCTGCATACTTGGTCCAGGTCAGTAATAGCAGCTTCCCGATTTCCAATTGGAGGATGGAGGCCAGGTGATCAGCTGAGATCACTTATACTTAAAATCTCCTACAATCCTATTTTTACCTTTTCCCTCCTTTGTTCCATCTCAGTGCCGATCTCCTGCAGCCTCTTCCTGTCTATATGAGTCCGGTGATGGCTGCATGGTATTCCTCATGGCAGGTTTCCTGATGGTGATAACAGTGGGCCATGTCTGTGTAATGCCGCTACATGTAGTCTCCATCCAAAGCCCGGGTGACAACGCCGGAGGACAACTGAGTGACAGAGTGTTGTCGCCCTATAGCAGGAAAAAAACAAAACACCATTTAATATGTGGAGTGTAGAAACATGTCATCACTTTGGGGGGGGGGGGATGATTTTAGTGTTGTGTTTCCCAGACATCCCATTGGGCGCATTGGATGTGGGCAGGGATGGGAGAGAGGGCACCTCCCTGAGATGATAGCAGATAGCAGAGAAGTTAATGGTTCCTCTGTTATCTGCTGTTTTTTTTGTTTGTATCCTGACAGCGGCCACCTTCAGAATAAAAAACAACAAAAGATAGCCGGGGAATGAATAGCTAGGCTGCTATTGGCCATTTAAAATTTCAATGAGAGACTGGCTATTGCACTCACCCACTGCTTGCTGTCAATCAGCAGCAGAGGACCTGAAGGAGAACTAGAACCCCCCCCCCCCCAGGAAACGGGGCCCCAACAAAGATTTATT